TGCAACCTCAAATTAATAAATTCAAATTGTACTTGAAAATCACTGTTTATTTAATAAAAATTTTGAAGCACTTTATCCATGCATGGAAGTAGCGGTAGCATTACCTTTGTCTAGTTTGGTAGGGTAAAGTTGAAGATATCTTTTTTTCTAAGCTGAAAGTGCACCCAGTTAGGTCGAAACCAAATGAAAATCAGTAAAATTGATAGGAAATTTACGAAACCGGAGAGTGGAAATGAAAACAAAGTAACAAACGCCATTCAGATCCCGTTACATATTTTTTCAATACCTCCCAGTAAAAACAACGTTGCTCTACATTCAGTAATGTCATCCCTTTTCTGCTTAATTATTTGCATATCGGTCAATTTTGGAGCAATTAATCTTAAAAAATGTGTCTCTATACAAGATGTGGTGTGATTTCAAATGAGACAAATCTTCACAAGAGACCAAATGACACAGAAATTAACAACTATAGGTCATCGTATGGCTTCAACAATGAGCAAAGCCCATACCGCATAGTCAGCTTTAAAAGCCGGCCAAAAATGACAAATTCAAAACAGTTTAAACGAGAAAACTAACGGCCTAACTTATGTTAAAAAAATGAACGAAAAACAAATATGTAACACAGCAACATACGACAACCACTGAATTACAGGCTCCTGACTTGGGACAGGCACATACATTCAGAATGTGGCGAGTTTAAACATGTTAGTGGGACCCCAACGCTCTCCTAACCTGGGACAGTGGTGTAACAGTACAACATAAGAACGAACTAGCAAAATCAGTTGAAAAAGGCTTAACTCATCAGATGGAAACAAATAGAAATACACATAACAAAAACACAGAGTGGACGTGGCCGGGTACTTGTACATCCCAACAACACAAATACACTAACTTAAAGTATAGATCTGAGAGTACTCGCAGTTACTGACAGCTAATTCAAAGCCACTAGCAACTAATAAAAATAATCATGCATATAAGACTAAATTATCGATCAGTACACATCCAACATCTAATGGATTTGGTGTAGAGACGTTATAAACAGCAGAGAAAAACATGACCTTGTGCAATGCCAAGATACAGGTATCGACAAATTGTAGATCCATGCAAGGACTCAGTACCGTATAAAATTCTTGAAATTGTTAGTTTTCAGTCTTTCTCCGTATATAAGAGATCATAATGAATGAATGACGACGCTAAGGGTATTTAATGAGGTTGCTTTCGTTACTATGAGATTTATTAGCACTTTCTTGAAGCTTTTTATTTTCGATTTAATAAAATAATTGTTTTCCATCTCACTTTTATTAATTTTTATATAAATTTTTGTCTCCCTTTTCTATCCCCTTTCTCCTTTCTCCCGCCCCTTTCTCCTTTCTCCCACCCCCTCTCTCCATGTCTTCCTTTACCCTGTCCGCCCCCTCATTTTAACCCATTGTCAGATTTGCTCTTAATGCTTTAGTTTCAGAGATTTTAGCCAAAAACTGCAATTTACCTCTATGTTCTATTTTTAGCCATGTCGGCCATGTTGGTTGGCAGGCGGGGTCAACGGACATATTTTTTAAACTAGATACCCCAATGATGATTGTGGCCAAGTTTGGTTGAATTTGTCTATGTAGTTTCAGAGGAGAAGATTTTTGTAAAAGATTACAAAAATTTACGAAAAATTGATAAAAATTGACTATAAAAGGCAATAACTCCTTAAGGGGTCAATTGACAATTTTTGTCATGTTGGCTTATTTGTAGATCTTACTTTGCTGAACATTATTGCTCCTTACAGTTTATCTCTATCTATAATAATATTCAAGATAATAACCAAAAACCGCAAAATTTCCTTAAAATTACTAATTCAGGGGCAGCAACCCAATACATGCTTTAGTTTCAGAGATATAAGCCAAAAACTACATTTTACCCCTATGTTCTATTTTTAGCTATGGCGGCCATGTTGGTTGGCAAAAAGGGGGGGGGGGGGTCGTCAGACACATTTTTTTATACTAGATACCCCAATGATGATTGTGGCCAAGTAGTTTCAGAGGAGAAAGGAGAAGATTTTTGAAAAAGTTAACGGACGACGACGACGACGGACGCCAAGTGATGAGAAAAGCTCACTTGGCCTTTTAGGCCATGTGAGCTAAAAATTGTCAAAATTTGGCAATAACTCCTATAAGAAGTTGCCGGTTTTGACGTATATGACAAATGGTAAGCTCAACATTCTGAACATGTGTTCTCCTGTCAGATTTTCTCTTTTCATAACGGTTTTCAAAATAATAGACAAAACTTGCATTTTACCCAATGTTCTATTTTTAGCCATGTCGGCCATCTTGGTTGGCAGACGGGGTCACCGGACACATTTTTTAAACTAGATACCCCAATGATGATTGTGGCCAAGTTTGGTTAAATTTGGCCCAGTAGTTTCAGAGGAGAAGAGTTTGTTAAAGGTAACCGGACGACTACGACGACGGACGACGGACGCCAAGTGATAAGAAAAGCTCACTTGGCCCATTGGGCCAGGTGAGCTAAAACAACTTAAATATTTTTCTAATTTGAAAATGTTATTAAATCCATGATATGTCTTTAAGCTCTTTCAAACTTTGTATACTGCAAAAATGAAATATATCCTCTGCTCTTTAATACATAAACAGGTTCTGTAGAAACTTCAAAGCACATGTTCCTTTATAAAACAGTCGATAGTGCTAACGGTAGGGGAACTTGTAACAGCCACTATGTTCCGTCAGTTACTTTGTTCCGGCGGAACTTTTCAACTAGTTATTTCGTTCCGATGGAACTTTCCAACTAGTTGTTTTATTCCGAGTGCAGTCGAAAAGTTCCGGAAAAAAGTAGCTAGTTGAAAAGTCCCGGAACAATGTAGCAGACGGAATAAGTTGCATTATGATGCAAATTTAGTATTCATAGTACCCTCAAGAGAGGGAAGAATACCCCCCTCCTCATGTGGGTACTTTTAAAAATATCAATTTCAGATTAATGTATAACAATAAAATAGAACTTATTCCGATAGAAGGCAACATTCTGACCGAATTAAGTACCATAATAATGATAAGGGGGAAGAATGAGGATCAGTATATAAGACACTTTTGTTCCCCCTTGAAAAGGTTCAAAGATAATATGTTGCGCTTTTACTTTGCATCAATTCTCCAAATGGAACTTTGTGACTGGTTGATAAGTTCCGTTGGAACTTTTGGGCTAGTTTGTTAGTTCCAGTTTTGACTTATTTGCCAAAGAGGAACTTTGTGGCTAGTTGATAAGTTCCTTTTGACTTTTGTAATCAGTATCTTGGTTTCCCTTTGAAATGTTCAAATATAATATGTTGCGCTTTTACTTTGCATCACTTCTCCAAATGGAACTTTGTAACTGGTTGATAAGTTCCGTTGGAACTTTTGGGCTAGTTTGTTAGTTCCGGTTTTGACTAATTTGGCAAAAAGGAACTTTCTAACTAGTTGATATGTTCCGTTGGAACTTTTCAACTAGTCACTTTGTTCCGGTGGAACTTTTAAACCAGAGGAAGAACAAAGTAACTAGTTAATAAGTTCCTTCGGAACTTTTCGGCTGTTTAGTTCTTTCCGCCCGGAACTTTCCAACGTCGGAACAAAAGAGCATTTACAAGTACACTATATCATTATTTATTATAAACTATATTAGTAATCCTTAAAAGCTATATTATTATATATAATTATATGTTTGTTTAATTATACATGCTGTCTTCTTGTCATTTATACATGTTTGCTATACCATTGAAATAAAATGAAAATATAATATTTCCATGGTTATACTATGTTTTGTTTATTTTGTCTCAAATCAAATAAGTTGATTCACTATGACGATCAAGGTTCATATTGAATTGAATTATAACAATTTTTCCCCACATTAATTGCACATTACGACAATTGTTGTTTGTGATTAGTAAATCATTCCAAACCTTGGCTACAGAATAATAAACGATTTCTTATAAAGAATTTTATACATAAAAATATATTGTTAGTATTTTACTCTCAGTAAATGATAACCTTTTTAAAGAAGAAAACACAATTTAATGAAACAGAACCAAATATCGTATTTAAGTGCAATTATTATTGCTATTTTCTGGAGATTTATTATTATATCGGAATGTTTTTGTAATACATACTCCAAAAAACAAATTCAATATGCAATTTATTGTAGAGTTGTTTTATGTGTTCAGGCAAACATTCTTTAAGTTTATATAAAAGTCAAATTTTTGAAGTAAAAAAACGATCTTACATAAACGATCAACATGTTCCTCCCAGCTTAAATGTTCATCAATGTCAATTCCAAGTTATTTGAAATAATCAGTATTTTCAATACAGGTCAAATAATTTTGATAGTTGTTTTAGTCTTTTTTTTCGAACTTAGTTGGAAACACTTCACATCCTTTGCATTCATGAACAGCATTCAAATCATTTTGCAAAGTACTACATTGTATTTGTATTTTCAATGTGTTTAAGTATCATAAAGCTACTGTACCAGTTTGAAAGTGGTGCACACCTGTTTAAAATGTCGTGCGCACGAGTTTTATAGTTTCATAGTCGTGCACAGGATTTTTCAAACTGGTGACCACCATATTGAATCTCCGGGAAATGAAAATATTTATATTTACCTAACACTGAAGGGGCTCCATATAAAACAGCATTGTTGAATCACCAGTCTATAAATCCATGTTAGATGTTTTAACATGAAGTAGTAATTTGATTTGAATTGAAATAACAGAGGACCTAAAATGGAACCTGTAGGCACTCCATATTTTATAAACTTTCTATCAGATTTAATATTTGCACATTGATTTTCTAGCTGCCTATCATATATATATACGAACTTATCCAACTTATCATGTGTTCTCCGATATAATAAAGTCTGAGCTTTTCTAAGAGTATGTCATGGTAAATAAGAGCAAAAGTCTAACTAAAATCCAAACAACACGATACCAACTATTTTTGCATTAACTAAATATGTCTGAAACCGGACTCAAATATATGTGATATTTCACTTTTTATTTTTCAAGAACTCATATAAATGTGTTCATCCACACCTATATTAAAACATAGGAGAGTATTCAAAACATAAATTGGACGATAACTGTATTTGATTCTCACTTATTGTATGCAAAAAGAAAGTACTAACTGAATTAAGTTTTTCAGTACAATACAAAACAATTTATTGATTATTTTGAAATGCGTCATAATAATAGTATGGAATGAAGTTTTTACTTTTTCAATAGATCTTTTGGCAAAATCAGCAGTAAAATCTGTTCATATAGAAATGACCATTGTCTTGGGTTCTTGTTACTGCATTCTAGTCAGTATAAGTCTGAAAAAGATAAATTCCGAATTAGTTTTAAACCGCACCCTTATCGTTTTTTTTCAGTAACTGTAGACCATGTTTCATGGAATTTAGGTTTTAACTCTTATTGCCAAATTGGGATGATATTTTTTTCATTTTATTTCATTTCATTTTGTAGATATTTATTCTGTGAATAATTGGTGAGAGAAATTATTAGCCACAAAAGTTACCTCGTGAAGCAACCAAAACTTTGAAAGAACATTATAATTGTATCATATTATGTACGTTTGGTAGTAATTGTCTATTTACATGATTCATATCGAATATTTTGGTCAAACTAAATTTGTGAGAAAACAATATCTTTTGGTTTCATTACTCCATTAATCTTCTTTATATTGTCGACTTTCTGAGAGGTGAAATTTTGTCTAACCATGAATTCTCCAATTGATCTATCATGAATTGTGACTAAACATTATACCATCCACTGTAGTTCTCTTTTTCTGTGCCAAATTTTGAAAATATTACTTGCAACTAGTCCCATAAGCCTATCAATATTTTTGTCTAGATATTTTAACTCGTCAAATTTTTGTTATAAAAGGTCACATATTTAGACTTAAGATTTAGATTTTTCCTTTCATATAAAATTATAAGATTTTTTCGGTCTTGTTCAACATGTCAGTATAAAGCTAAATCGAAAAAAAAAATTCACGCACATTATATAACCCCATGTAACTTATACTAGTATATCAAAATTTCACCAAATTACAAAAAACTTATTGTTTTATATTTATGCTACTCATCAATGTTAATTAATAGTTACCAGGCTTACAGTCAATGTTCCTTAGTCAGTGTTCATTGTGTTTTGTAAATATTGATAGCTTTCCATTGGTTGTTTATGACAAATAGTTCTCTTGTTTCACAGTTGTAAGATAAACCGGTCGGTTGTTTGATACCATCGTCTGCTGACAGGACAATATCATGTTTCTGTCCATCATTAGATATTCTATGTATATTGTTTGATCCTTTTCCTGCTACATACACATCACCACGGTCATCTACAGCCACATCCCCAGCATCTTTCAGGTCAGGACTGCTGTATATCTCACGTTCTTTGCCATCCGATGTTACGACGTAGACTGTATCACTATAACGGTCAGTACAATAGACATCACCATCTTGATTGGCAGATATTTCAAAAGTATTAAATGTTGTATGTATTGTATTAAGAACTTTACCATTAATATCCACTATGGTTAGAGTGTTGAATTGATTTCTTACCCAGATCTTATCCTTTACACTGGTTATTCCTTTACAATATTCTCCAACTTTAATTATCCTACCAGGCTTTAATGTTGTAAGGTCAATGATCTGGATACCTTTATAACCTACAGATACTAAAGCATGGTTGTTGTCATACAAGGTAATACGATGTGGTGAATAATCCAAATTAATTACCTTGGGTTTGGATCCATCAAGTTTAGAAACATAAAGTTCATTATCTCTGTTATGACCAAGGAGTAACTTATCACCAGGAATAAAACAACCTCTAAAAATACTCACTCCATCACCTAATTTCGTGGTCTGGAAAGAATGTGTCAAAGACAATTTTCTCTTGTCTCTGACCAGAAACTGACATTGTTGATCAATATTTAGAACAGGCGTTGGTACTTGGACATTATCTACCGTTATTGTACCCAAGTCTGGGATTAGTTTCTTTATGTTCGACTCTGACTCTGAAGGATGATATGTTAGTACAGGGACACTTCCTGTTTGAATTTCTCTGATTTCTAATTCTTTCTGGTGGGTTTTTGCATCTAGAAATTTTACTACCTGAAATAAGTGGATTTCAGATGTGTATTGCTTCAGTGATTCAAGATCTCTTTTCCATGTAGACAGCGATCCCGAGCTAGATTTGATGCTGTTTTTATTTCGGGACACTGTCTCGTTACAGTGCTTATACTTATCATCAATGTCTTCATGTATATCTGCTTCTAACTTATCTAAGTGAGCAATAACTTTCTGTTTGATTTCTGACACTCTTTTCTTGATTTTATTTCGACCTTTTTCCAATTCGTCAAGTGTTGTTGCAGTTTGAGTCAGTATGTTCGCATTAACTTGACTTAGGTTTAACATTCTTCTCTCTAGGTCAGAAATAGCGGTGCCATCTTTCACGCCTTTAGCTGCATTTTCAATTGAAGTGATAGACTTGCAATTCTGATGTGATATCGGTAAACATGAATCGCAGATCATTTTGTCATGTTGACAGCAGTACAGTACAATCTTTTGTTTGGGGTGATTCTCGCAGTTCTTGGACAATTTAAGAAGCGAAGAACTGAGTGTTTGTATCTCTTTAATTGGTACTACCTTGTGAGGCGGGGATATCCTTTCATGAACTCTGGCGCAAACCTTACATACAAGTTCACTGCAATCACTGCACCAAGATACGGCATCAATTTCTTCATCACCACGCTGACAACCAGCACAGAATTTACTGTCAGCCATACTGTAAGAATAATATGTAAAGAATTTTAAGTTTAATAAAAACTATTATAATATTTCATCTTATGGCATTTATGAAAATATATTAAAAAACTTTACATTTTTTTTTCAAACAAGAGTGTTCACTCTGCAATGTATCCTCTGCTTCAATTTAGAACGTAAAAGTAGCCCTTCCCTGACAAAAGTAGTGCTTTTGATGTCATTGTTTACTAATAATAATAAAAATATTGCAGAAATGAAACTCTTGGTGCGAGAGAAATATATTTTAACAATTTTGCCTCAAAATTTACTTGTCCACGAGTTTACATAGATTGAAGATGAATGCGTTCCTTAGTATTCTTATTTAAGATTTCCAACAAAAAAACAGGGGTGAGATTTAGTAGTAGTGGCCTTCCGAACGATGGTATTTCATTAAAGACTTTAAACATTGGTTGGAAATTGTCATGTAGAAAGGTGATACATGTACAAATCAGGATATACTGTAACCGGAATCGGTTTCACAAAAAAAAAAAAAAAAAAAAAAGAACTAACGACTAAGATTGATCGTAAGTCATGAACAAATCAGTATACATGTACTTTTGATCAATCTTAGTCGCAAGTTTTTTTTGTGAAACCGACTCTCCGACTCTATGAAAGTTAAAATTAAGGTAAAATATTTATAAGGTTGTTAAAATTGAAAAGATTGATGGAACAGATAGGGATTTTGAATTGGTGGTCTGACATCTATAACAACCGACTAATAGCAGCACAAAAGAAACGGGATACCTAAAAGTTTTATCTTCAAGGAGAAGAAGGAATCATGAAATGAAGTTGTGTCAAAGTTATTTTAGTTATTCATTTAAAAAAAAGAAATGGTGATTTGATAATGATGTTTATTCTCAGTGTAACGCAATTAGAGCTAACCAAGATCTCCACACTAAATCACACATGTGGATGATCGTTTGTGACATAAAAGGACAATGGTGGAGCGGCGAATGTTGAAAGAAACAAACAAATTATTTTAACTTGTGACAGTTTTGCTTTTATTGGTACCAAAACTGTTAAAATCGAACCAGTAATGACCCCGCAATATTGTGACTTGCTGAACATAGCACGTAGCTCTCAGACCAAACAGAATATTGTTAATAAAGTGTCTCTGGACTGTTTTTATAAACATTTTAAGAAACTGAACTCTGTCCAATTTGAAAAAAAATGATGATACATTTAAAAATATTGCTGTTGAAAATATTAGTAATTTAAATACTGAACTATAAAATCGAGTTGTATCAGAAAATGAGGTGAGACAGGCTATTAAAGGGTTGCAAAATAATGAAGCTTGTGGAAATAATTTTATTATTAATGAATTTTTGAAGCATTCTGCTGATAAAATGCTACCAGTTTTTGTTTCTTTGTTTAATATTGTTTTTAATTCTGGTTGTATACCAGACTCTTGGTCTGAATGTATTATTGTAGCAATATATAAAAGTAAAAGAGACCCCGCAAGTCCTGATAATTACCAGGGCATAACAGTTCTTAGCTGTTTTGTAAATTATTCACGTGTGTGCTGAATAATAGACTTAATTGCTATTTAGATAATTTTTATGTTCTCTGCGAAAAGCAAGCAGGTTTTAGAAAACATTATAGTACTTCAGATCACTGACATTTTTAATATGAACTGTTTGATTGATCTTTACTTAAGATGTAATAAACTTTTATTTTGTGCTTTTGTTGACTACCGAAAAGCTTTTGACTCAGTAGATAGATGTGCTTTATGACACAAGTTACTGCAACAATGTATTGATGTTAAAATGTTTAAAGTAATTCACATATATGTATAAAAATGCCAAATCTTGTGTACGTTTAGGTTGTAAAACCTCAAGTTTCTTTTTTAGCAATGTTGGTGTACGCCAAGGAGAAATTTGTCACCTGTACTATTTTCATTGTTTTTAAATGATCAAGTTGAATTATTGACACATTCTTATGATGGTTTGTCAAAAGTTTACAATGCTGCTCATATTTTCCTTGATAATAATGAAATTGCTGTATATTTTAAATTGTACCTGTTACTATATGCAGACGACACTGTAATTCTAGTAGAATCTGACACTGAATTACAAGCAGCCTTGAATGCCATGTATTTGTATTGCAAATGTTGGAAATTAGAAGTAAATGTAGGTAAGACTAAGATTGTAATTTTTAGAAAACGTATTTTCAAACTGAATGATAGTCTTGCATTTATTTATGATGGTCAAATTAAAGATATTGTTGATGATTTTACATATCTTGGAATAATATTTTCTTCAAATGGTTCATTTTGTAAAAATAAAGAAATATTAGTTTGTCAAGCTAGAAAGGCTATGTTTAGTATTATGAAAAAAGTAGAAAACTGAATTTTCCTATTGATATTCAGCTTGAGATGTTTGATGCAATGGTTTTGCCTATTTTAATGTATGGGTGTGAGATTTGGGTTTTTACTAATAACTGTATAATAGAGTCATTCTGTGTGCAATTTTATAAATATATACTGTGTTAGAAGAAATCTACACCAAATAGAATCATGTATGGTGAACTAGGAAGATTTCCTATTGATATTTTTATCAAAAGCAGAATGGTTGCATTCTGGAAAAAAATTATTTCCAATAAGCAAGATAAAATTGCTGCTACTTTGTACAAGTTATTACATAACATGCATATCAAAAAAAAAATTTCATTCAAAATGGATGGTTTGTATTGAAAAAAAACCTGAATAATTGTGGTCTTTCAGAGTACTGGCTGTCACAAAGTGTACCAAAAAATGTAAATGTATCAAATCTAGTCAAACAATGTCTTTGCAAACATGGGTTTCTACTGTTTATGATTCAGCTAAGTGTTTAAACTATAGAATTTTAAAAACCGTTCATAATTTTGAAAGATATATTGTTGATCTACCATATGATCTTCGAAAGCCATATTGTAATTTTAGATGTATGAATCATAAATTGCCAATAGAACAAGGTCGTTTTTTGAGTGTCCAACGTGATGATCGAATTTGTGATTTATTCAGTTTATGTGAAATTGGTGATGAATTCCACTATCTGTTTAAATATACTTTTTTTCTCAAGTGAAAGACAAAGGCTTTTGCCCCGTAATGTGCATAAAAAGCCAAATACTATTAAATATTGTGAACTTTTTTGTTCTGATGACTACAGTGTAATTGTCAAACTTGCCAAATTTGTAATATTGTTCTGTCTGTTATTAATTAGATAAATGTTGTCTGTTATAAATTAGAATTGCCTTCCACTGCAAATTTCATTAACCATTTACTTTATACAACTGTATATATAATCATGTCATTCCACTCATCTCATTGTTCTTGTATACATATGTTATTGTTGTTTTTGTTGTTTATATTCACATACCCCTGATGGGGTCTTGAAAAATAAAAGTTTCAAGTTTCAAGTTTCAAGTTTTGAAAACCCGTAGGTTTATACGAAATATAAACAGTATCATAACATTGCACAGGTGACGAATGACATGCAAATGTTGATTGAAAGAATTGGCATGTTCTTTTTTTATTTCGACACAAAACTGAGTATTAGGTATATGAATGCAGTTGAAAGTTTTAGGAAATATTTCATTTTCTTATGAAATGCAAGAAGATACTAAGGAGGTAATCGAGCAGTGACAAGCCGAAAAACAAAGTCGACAAAAAAGAACCATCAGACTCGGTCTAAAAAAAATCTACTTATAAACTTAAAATTGAGCACGAACACGAAGCCCACCCTAAAATTGATCACAGAATAAGTAAAAGCTATGTCATTTGACCTCAGCATTCAACTTTATTCGAAGTGCAGAAAAATAACAGGTATCTTCTATTCCGTCCGCAATTTTTTGGGAAAGTAAAATCTAAATTTAGAATCATTGTTGAAACTTTAACTACACGGCAACACATGTATGATAAAATTAGAACATGACATCTCTTCTTTATCATTATTTTCAATTCAAATTTCGAAGGGTTAGCCAAAATTGTTTTCTTTTATTGTGTTTTTGTGTATGATCAGTCAGAAGAAGTGAATGAAAGTTTGAAGCCTTATTTGTTTTTAATAATATGAGGTTCAAGAAAAAAATATAAAACGGTTACCCCTTTTTTATTTAATTTTCTGGTGTATTTTTACAAGCAAAATCCATCTATGAAATGTAAAACAAATCTGTAGAGTAGTTAATTACGTACACTTCGCTTTAAGGGCATAAGATAGAGTTTTGATCCCACAGTGAATGTTTTACGAAAATTTGCATACAAGCTATTTTTCACCTAGTGATTTCAAATTTGTCATAAAAATATACCTCTATACGCTACTTTTAGAGATAAATAGGTTCGTAATTTTAGACATTACTAAAAATTCGGTTTCTTGGACATTACTATCCTTTTGACAGTTATATCTAACTATTTTGTTTCGAAAGATAAACACAAGCGGATTTGTAAAAAAACATTTGGAAAATCTTCTTTACATAAATATGCTCTAAATTTGTGTAACATTTTTTTTTAAAAGTAATTCATTTTTATCAAAGGTTCAAGATTTAGAATAAAACGACAGAAAATTTTGAGAAAAAGACTGAAATTTATAAAAGTAGCACATGAAGGTTTATTTTTTTATTACATATTCAAATCGACGAGGTGAAACATAGCTTGTATGCAAATTTTCGTCAAAAATTCACCGTGGGATCAAAACTATCGTATGCCCGTTACCCGACTTTCATCGAAGACCCCACTGCTGTTTCGGTAAACTTAACGCATAATTGATCCATTTCTAAACATGATTTGCGAAAGAAATTGGTAAATATGGTTGATCTGGAACTTTATAAGGGCATTTTTAACTAGTCCTACATGTATATGTAAATATAAAAAATAAGAAGATGTGGTATGATTACCAATGAGACAACTCTCCACAAGAGACCAAAATGACACAGAAATTAACAACTATAGGTCACCGCAGAGCCTTCAACAATGAGAAAACCCATACCGCATAGTCAGTTATAAAAGGCCCC